GGGTGTGCTGCAGGTCGGGGTGCGCTGGGGGCGTGCACGTCCTTAGCCGCTCATCTCGACCCCTGGTCTCGCCCGCGCAGAGAGTCAGAGAGAGAGAGAGAGAGAGAGAGAGAGAGAGAGTAGGGGGTCTAGAGAAGGACCTACGGGCGCAGAGACAGGGGTGGAGCGCACTCGTGGGGCGGGGCGAAGGCGGATGGGGGCAGGCTGCGTGGGCGTCCAGACGTCCGTGTCCGTCCGGGGGTCTTGGCGCGCCCTATTAAAAATTCTTGTCACCCAGTTAATGTCATTTTGAATGATTTTTTTCTATTATTGGCAGTTTATAGATATGATGACTTGTTTAAAATTTTAAAGTTAACAACTTCTTGCCTTTTTCGTGAGTTTTGCTCCGATATGTTGATAGTTCTTATCCGGCTCTGCTACTTTGTAATGGAGTATTGACATATTTCACTAATGCAACAGTACAGGTTTGCTATCTTGATACAATCACCAAGAGAATTGCACATGGAGGATGAACAAAGGTGTTTTACCATCTCCTTGTAGTTACCTGTGTGCTTTTCTTGAATTTGATGGAGTTCATAGAAGTCATGCCTGCTTGTATTTTAAAATCTTTATTATGCCCATATGTGCCTGATCAAGATAAAGGAAGTACACCTAAGCTATTTGAGTCTGAAGCAAAGTTGTCTGCACAAGATGAAGGTGAATCTCAAAAGGGGCAAAAGAAGTCATGTCTGGTAACAAACAGCTATTGTTGAAGAAAATAAATGAAGCACTCTTTGAGAATCGGAGGAAGTTAGCCAAGTTATTTCTTGAGACAAAGTTTAGACCCAATCTTGCCTGCAGTTGTCTACTACAACCTAAGGGTTTATCTAGCAACTCCACAGCATTTTTTTCACAAAGAACATCATAAATTGAATAGGAAAACTCTCCAGTACCTTAGTGTATATGAATTAATGATTTAGAGGTTAAGGATAGACAATGATGATGAGTGAGATCATTTCTCGAACCAGATAATCAGCACTAGAGTAGCTGAGGATTGGGACACTATTCTGTAAAGGTGAAGTTGATGCCTCATACCAGGATGGCGAAAAGGGTCGGTCTGTGAAGGCCACAATCTTATTTATAACATGGAGAGATGATAAGGTTGTCTGTGCAGAAATTTATGGGGATTTAGACTGTAGCTCTATACATGTGGCAGAAGCATATGTTGTGTTGGCTTTGTTTTTCAAGTGCTTTGAAATGGAGATTAAAGATCTGGTGCTTTGGACAAACTTTGATATTTCTGGCCCAACCGAAGGAAGCAGTTCTGGCCCACCAAAGGAAGCAGTTCTGGCCCACCGAAGGAGCGCGGCCGATTTCCCGAAACTCGGCCCGTTCAGTGGCCCGTTCGCATATCACTCTACTCCCCCTATATATTCTCCCCTAGATATTCGCTCCTTGTTGTCCGGCTGACTGTTTGATAGGGTTTCTGGGATTCTGGTGCCTTAGCTCCTCGATAGGGTTTCTCCCGCCCCACTACTGCCCGAGAACACTACCCCACCGCCTGTCGGCCACCGATTCATACATAGTGAACCAAAGTAGGAGTGAGAAGGAACCAAAGTAAGAGTGAGAAGGAACACGACATAGTAAACCAAAGTAGGAGTGAGAAGCAACACGACTTGCTTCTTCTCCTCGGAAGCATGAAAAAAAATTAACCCAGCTTGACTTGCTTCTTCTCCTCGGATGCATGAAAAAAGATTAACCCAGCTTATAACTATGTGCAAAGCATATGAATTGATGTTCTTAGCAGATGGTCTTGCAAATGGTGAAGATAGTGTTCCCAAATTGGAGGACATAATAAACAAATTCAATCATCTTTTGCTTTATATATCATCTGTGTCCAAATGTGTGGGGTTATAGCCCTTCGCTCATACCTTCATCGGGGTGAGGGTACCTTCACGGAGATAAAGCATAAGCTTGATTACTATGCCCATACAGAAAAGAGAGGAAGAGCTAAAGATTAGGGTTGTGAGAATGAGGGGAGCATCCCCTTGCCCTTGCCCCTTGTTCTATTTATAAGGGAGCTGGAGGAGGCAATCTTTCTCCCTACCCCATTCGGTTTGTGAATTGCATAGAGGTGCTCGGATCTATTAGGCGTTGGACCTTTTTAACTGAGAATTTTGCACTCGGCGTTTGTTCGGGGGCCAAGTTTGAGGAGTATGCGATGGATCCTATTAGAACATACAACATTCCGCAACAGATAACATGTATTTACTGTTCATGTCGAGTAAGACAAATACACATCCAAGTCTCGTGCCTCAGTTGCAACCGAGTACATGGCACAACACATAGCAACAAGCAACATAAGGTACATAGCACGAGCTTCTCATAATATGTTAGCCACGGACCACGTTCGCTCGTCGGACAACCTTGAATCTAACACAGGTCGCTCAAATATGACTGCAAAAAGCACCGCTTGCCACCAGTCACCTACGCAAATAAAAACAAAGACAACAGGAGTAACTCTCACGGTTGGAAATCTGTGGATCACAATATATAACAGGCAAAATTTAATGAATTAATTGTAAATACACAATCACATAACTGTCAGCTCTAACAACTAAGTTAACATTGATGACAAAAAAATTCTACTCGAATAGAAAACCAGTACCCGCACGTCATACCTCATGCACTCTTTATCTTTAGCAACCTCAGGAGTGTGAAAGTAGCAGTACCAAAAAGTCTCCTTGATTGACGATTATTACTTTGGTTGCCAAAGTCTTTCCAACCAAAGATTATGATATGGATTACGAGCAAATCCATTGCCCCAGAATATGCTACAGTACCAAAGGGCCTTCTTGGTTGAAGATTACTTGCAGGTTGATGGATTCTTCCCACCAAGTCGAGATTAAGATCTGGATTTTGAGTAGATCCATTGCTCATTGAGCCATTCCAAGAGTGATGGAGCACTTCAGGATCAACCTCAGATGCAGGTGATAGTGCATAGGATGGATACACCCTCAAGAGGCATCGGGGCTCGTAGGACTAATCGCCAATATGGGAAGAACATCTTCCTTGTGTGTATTCTGGATCCCATCCTCTAGGTATTTTTTTCTCACAACCTGTATCATAATTAATAAGATTAAACTTTATAAAACCAAAAGGGATCCCGATTTCAACATGACCAGGAAGGAGTACTTGCATCACAATATTTATGGTACAAATAGAAAATGCAATATGATGCTCACAATCATGTCACTTGCATTACGTTGGGTCTCACAATAATGTTTTTTTAGTCAGATATGATCATATGAATGATGTAACTGAAGGGCAGTAGTTGAGTGCAATGTTTAATAAGCATCATGATAAGCTGTTGAACCAGTAAGGAGCATGATAGAAACATACAAATGATAACATACCTTTGATATTGCCTCTAGAGATTATATGACTACGCAATTTCACCAAGAAAGTGAAAGAATGATGTAAAATATAAATGTTCACAAAGAGAAAAAAAACATTTTTTTATTATCAACCAATTTTTTTTGATTAATCATACTGAACAACAACATTCTAATAGCTTCCAAAATCATAGTCCAACTATTAAACAAGCCCCTTTTCACCTAAAACTACCACAAGACCATACAAGCATAAATAAAAAAGAGGAAACAATAGGCCTATCGACAAGATAATTAAAGATCATTTTATCAAAAGCTAACCAACTGCTTTCAGATTTGTTCAAGGGTAAATCAAGGATGAATGGTTGATACTCTGCTGTAATAGGAGTCCATTGCTCCATTTCATGATGTAATGGTGGAACTAGTGATAGCACAGACGAACTTGTTCATTGCTCTCCCGCAGGAGGCTGACTACGTTTAGGGTTTTTCTTGCTTGATTACAACTGATGACGCAACTAGGTATTTATAGCCGCCAAGAACAGATAACCTCAACATTGATGGATTTGGCCTGATTGGTTGGCTTCCAAAATTTATCAAACCAAAGATTTGATAAGCCACGATTTTAGCTATCATTTGGTTGACTACCAAAACTTGTCAACCGTCTCATATTTGACTTGCCAAATCCATAGTATTTTTCCCTAGTTTTGGCTTGCCAAAACTTGGGCATGGCAAATTTTGGTTGCAAACCAATCAGACCCTGAGTCTGGGCCGCGTTGCTAGAGAGCCCGCGGTAGTGGCGAGCTCCAAGAGGGGGGGGTCCCCGACGGCCGGCAAGGGCATCTAGCGAGTTGCCGAGGCCTCGGGAGGACACTCCGGTGGTTGGCCTGGGGGCTGAGCGCAGGTGCGGCGGCGGATCTGGGACCGGCTGCCATGGGGCTGGCGTAGGCGGGAGGGGGAGGGGACGAGGCTAACAACTCCATTTTTTAATTGTGAAAGTTACTACTTCTGGAAACCCAAGCCCCATTGAGGTGGCAAAACAATTGTCTCATGCGGGGTTTCAACTTAGCAGAATATCTTTGGCTGTGAGATTTGCTATCTCATTTCCAACTGCAGCCGGGAGTCGTGGATTCCTTTTCCTGGCGTTGGACCAACAATGGAGAATATACAGCGCACTCGGCACATCAGGCGATGTTCCATGGAGCAACTCAACTCCATAGTGCTAAACTGTTGTGTGGAAGACCAAGGAACCGTTGCGTGTGAGGTTCTTCCTCTAGATTGCACTCCGACAGCGACTCATGAACGGCTGATCGGTGTATCCTCATGGACTTCAGCTGAGTTAATTTTGGTCAGCCTAGTGCCTAGCGCTTAATGTTGTCTGATCCCTTATGTAATTTCAAATAGAACCTTTAGCTCAAAGTCTGTGCGCACGCTCTGCACCGCATTGTGTACCCAAACTATTTTTATTCCTCTTATTATCTCAATACAATAATAGACAACTCTCCAAGTGATTCCACACACCACAATAAGATACCATTTACCATCATACAAGTAACTACTGAAATAACATGGAGACAAATCTGTGCACCACAATTCACAATAATACCCTTGTGAATGCACAAATGTGCCGTCTTACTTCATGTTCTTGTAGACCGCATCGATTACTCCCTGAACAGTTTAAAACATAGTAAATGAAACCGGTGGAGAATTGTCTTACTTTACGAACTAGAAGGTCAAAATAAATAAATCGATAAATCCATTTGATTTTTCTGGTCGGGAGAGAGGTTATAATTGTGTTCAGTTGACATCTAACCTGGTAGTATTTGAGCATTTGTGGCCGTTTCTTCTTGTATGTTGGGGTGATGAGATCGCGCTCGATATCAAATGGCAACGGGTCAAGATGGATAGCTTTTATGAACTCAAAGCCTTTCAGCTGGCAAATCGAAGATAAAATATACAGCAATCATTTAACAACATCTAAATGCAACAAATAATGTAGCAATCGTAATTAGGATAGCTTACCTTCTTTTCCTTCGCAATCTTCGTGAGCTCTGCAAGAATATGTTCTTTGGCTCTTGAATGCTCGCATAGTTCAGCAAAACTTCCAGTAATACCGTTTTGTTCCGCCCAGCGTTCAAGAGCTTGTTGGTTCGGATTGACAACAGCAACAAGAGAAGATTCAAAACTATTCCCATATACCCATATCTGAAATAGATTAACAGAAACATGAAAAGGTGGGACATGATAAACTGGATACAAGAGAGACCAAAGAACAAATTACATCTTGGATGCAAAGCCCATCCCCCCTTCATATAGTTTCATTTTTAGATAGACGTTATATAGTTCAAGAAAATAATCTGAAATAAGAGTAACAAATATTTATAATGACCAAAACTTTTACAAGCAAGCAGGACTTAGAAACTTATGTGGCATCAACAGAGCCTTATAATGAGCTTTGTTCCAACCAAACAACACCCATTAATAGTTTCATAACAATTTCAAATCAAGTGGCCTACATAATTCTTTTTTTTCCTCAAACATGCAAGAGAGCTGCATATCATTATATTAAGAAGAAATAGATAATTCTTTCCACAAGCACCATAAGCATGGGAGAAATGAATATAAAAATTTCTGTTGCAGCATGAAAAATTGTTAAGACAGTGCATTTTTCATTGAGTTTGTTACATACTGAATCTATATCTTGAAGAACACCGTATACATTCTCTAGATTTTCCACTGCAACGTATTCCCCCTGCGAAAGCTTGAAAATATTCTTCTTTCTATCAATCACTTTTAAGGATCCATCTGGTTGCCACTCACCAATATCTCCTGCATTACAAAGATTATTTTAATTAGAAACATTATTTACAAGATAAACTCACGATGTCCACCTGTGTAAAGATAGTTAATTGGCACACTGTGTTGAAGTTACGGAAATAACTAACCAGTGTGAAACCAGCCATCAATCATGACTTCCTGCACAAGGTCCTCTCTTTTGTAGTATCCAGAGAACAGAACACTTCCCCTTATGCATATCTCTCCACGTGGGACACTAGACAAAGCATCATAACCCATCTCTGGAACTGACTCGAGGCGTACATCTATATGTGGAACAGGTGGACCAACAGTGCCAAGCATGGAGTATTCATTTGGTATCGAAACTATAGATCCCGCACAAGTTTCCGTCAGTCCTAAACATTAAAACGTGCACAGTATTATCTAAAAGTATAAGTCCACACATCGCAGAAAAACTATGTCCTCAGGTGCTTCATTATACTAAGTAAAGGAACTACAACATTGAAAGATCCATACCATAGCCTTGAATAACATAAGCACATGTCACAACCCTCAAAAATTCTTCCACTGGTACAGCTAGAGGGGCACCTCCAGATACAATAACTCTTAATTTTCCACCAAGCCTTTCTTTCACCTTAAAGATAAGCATTAAGTTAGAATAACAACATACTGCCGAAGCTGCACCGGCATTTTCAATTACATCTGATAGGTTACTAAAATGCTGTTATTGAGTTATCAACTTGTACCTTGCTGAAAACTAATTTGTCAAAGAATGGGGCTGCCTTCTCATGTTTAATTCCTTTCCTCATGCTGTCCAGTTTCCTGGTGATATGCTAATTTCTAGTAACTCAAAAATTGAATCGGGCATGTAATAGTTTACAGAATGCAAAGGCATGATACGGTAAAAATTAAGAAAGCAATAGAATCACAAACAATGTGGAATGACAAAACAAGAACACCTTAAGAAACTAAGTGGCCATCCTGCAAGTTTTGAGTACTCCTCACAAAGGAAAATAGTAATCTCAGTATTAATTGCATGCACACTTACATCTTATAAGCAATGTTGAATAGAGTTTTCTTCAGTATACCACCAGACGAAATCCTAGCTGTAAGACCTGCATAAACATAATAAATGCATCAGACATCAGCAAATTCCATAGAAGAGGCAATTACAGGAACAAATTACATGTAATCTTCCACTGAAGGCTATCTCACGTGATCTCTATTTCTTAAACTACAACTATCTCCGCTTAAAGTAAACTGACTATCAACAGATCAACCTATAAAAAGGATTACTGCAAACAGTTTGGGTATGTGTCAGCTGTAACATGAATGTTATGAGTGCCTTTGGAAATAGGAAATCACAAGAAACATTGTAATCTAAACATGATGACATAACAGAACAGGGATATATCTGGGTATTGAATCAATTAGAGAGATATTTTACGCCCAAAAAATAATTGTAATCCAGCTTACTTTATAGGCAACTAAACCCATTCAGTTAATATACAAAAATAACTGATCAGCTAAACATTCATGTGTCAACGTTCGACATTTGGAATTTACCTGAATATATCCTGTCCAGCACACGTGGAACAGCACAGAATACTGTTGGTTTTAGTGCTGCAATGTCATCAACCAATAGTTTGACATCCTATAGATACATAACACAAATATCAATATGCATCATTGCCTAAAGGTCAGCAAGGACACAAGGAGTAACCAAGAACCATACCCCACGCCAAAATCCAATTTTTGATCCATGGTAAATGAACACTTCCTCAAACATTCTATCAAAGATATGGGCTAGTGGAAGATATGACAAATAGACATCATCTTGATCTAACTGCAATAAGAGAGTGGAGAGCAACCCACATGAGCTCTATGCAAATGGACATCAGAGTTCTTTCGTAAAGAAATTTCGAGATTCTACTTACAACTTCACCAATATACTGAAGTACAGAATCAGGGCCCGCGATATTTACAAGAAGGCTTTCATTTGATATCATAACTCCTTTAGGGTCTCCCGTTGTGCCGCTTGTATACATTATTGTACAGATGTCAGATCTCTTCTTTTCAGGCAGATCAAAATTATGAGAGCCACCCTATAAGCATACATGGTAGTCAAGAGTTTGCGCATCATATGATAGGTCAGTAGCATGAGATTTGCTTGAGTGATATATACAAATGCCATTTACTTCAACAAGTTATTGTTTTGTGTATGACTTGAACACTAGAAAGCACCAAGCGCTCGCACAAGTTTTATCTTTTTTCCTAGTACAACATGGTAGTAAAATTATGGAAGCGATACAAACTTCTATCATATAATATGCAACCCCATTTGGTAAAATTAGTTTTGGCCATTGCAGCAAAGATTTTACTATGGAGTTCTAGCCTTCTAGTCTAGGTATAAATAAAAGGGAGGCATAGATATGTATATATACTCCACTCTGTAAAAGATATGACATATCTGCACAAGTTTCAAAACGGTAGCTATAGTTAGTACATGCTAGTCTTAACGGTAGCTATAGTTAGTACGTGCTAGTCTTTGTTCTTGGCATGTAGTTATATTTTGGCTGATATGTTGAGTTTCCTCCTCATTCGGGATGTGGTTTCTTCACATATCTGTCTGTGAAACCTTTAGCACATATGAAACTAGGCATCCAAGAATAATAATAAGATACAAATAAGGCAAAATTATCCAGATTTTTTCAGCCACTTTGGTAAAAGTAATATATATTATTTTACCTAGAAAAAAAAGGCGTCATGAAGCACTTATCTCCATAACATTCTACTAGAACACCTGTAATCTACAAAGTAAGCTGAAGAAGCCAATGCTTACCATGATCAGGAATTCCTCCCAAGAGAAAATGGACAGGCCATGTTTTTTAGCTTCATCTTTATGGTCATTTGTGACCCCTCCAAAGCTTATAACCGCTGGCAAATGAAACAAAAGAAAAACCATGAGTCCCAAAGTGATGAACCATCTAACCAATCAACATCATGTTACGGAGGTACTTACTTTTCAGATACTTCGAAGTAGCATGACAAGTTTTCAGGAGCTGTCATCATTGAAAGTAATCAACAAACATGATACGGTTAAATATAAATAAATCAGATAAAGAGCTAGTCTAGAAAATAATTCTACACTGCAATAATCACTACGCGCACATTTCCTCGAAACGAATTTCGTAAAAAAAATGTTTCGATCTGTTGAACAGGCTATTGGAAAATTGGAGTAAGAATGGGGAGACAATCCAACACCTGCTGATCAGATTTGACCCCGCCGTTTCAGTCCGTCGACCCGGAGTACTCGCGGTCAGGCTGCGCGGGGGCCGCCGGCAGGGGAGAACCTGTCGCCCTCACCTCTCTCACGGGACAAGGCAAACCGCTGCGGCGCCATCGCGGCAAGCACGTGCCACGTGGGGGTGGCTTTGGGGCTCACGGCAGCGGCGGCGGCGGCGGCGGCGCCGGCGCGACGTCACCGTCTGACCGACGACCCCCGGCACGAAACGCACGGTCTGATCGGGCCGAAAGTGTGGGTAGAGTTTTTGTTGGGCCAATAATTTCACTACGCCCCGACCAAGCCGAGGCCTATCTCGAGGTTGCCTGATTAGAACTGGTCGGATCTGCTATTTGCTACTGTTAGGCAAGGTCTGTGGCTATTTTTTTCCACTGATTCTCTGATTTTTTTGTTCTACCTGGGATGCAATACTGTTAGCATAGATTGGTTAACCTGGTCGTTCCCACAAGATTATGTTGCAATCAGGCTCAACATGGATAAATCTGTTGTGTGCAGATCTTTAATGTCTGGCGGTTTATAACAAGTATAGGCATGCATCTTCGCGGTGTCCGGACGGGTGGCGCGTGTGCCGCGGCAAGCTGATGTTTGGAATGTGTCTAATATTGATCCTGTTTTTGTTGCCTATTTCAGGAGACTGACATTTCAGATAAGAGGGCAATGGGGAGGCCAAGATGATCGATGAGTACGTGGATATCCGTGTTGAGATATACCAACAATGAATTATCATTCAGTAGCCTAGACAGCTAGCAAAGTAGCTCTTTAATTCAATAAAATTGCTTGCAAATTTTGACTCAGTCTGTGAATCAGATGCGGATGATGCACGCTCCCCGGACTAGGGTAGTTGCTGGCTCCTTTATCTGACTAGGATTAGCTATTTGGGACTACAAAGTTGGTTCTCCTTTCAAGATTGGAAACAGATTGCTCAAGTAAGAGAAGTTTCAGAAGCTTGCATTGGAGCACTCTCAGAAGTGGTTATTGCTCAAGACCAAAGCTCCAGAGCCTACCTATTTAGTACAAACTTGAGTACTGTTTTCTAATTAGCGATGCATTAGATTGGTCTACAATTGACATATTAGAAAGTGTTCTGTACTTTTGTTCTATTTTATATCAGGATGCAGTTTGTTGTCTGAGAATTTTCCACCATATACAAGACACTAGCATAAATATCCTTTCCCCTGCACACTGTTGTAAACAGTAGGAAATTCTTAACTCACATGAGGTGCATAATTTTTCAGATGGTGAGGACAGAAGATAGGAGGGGTTGACGTGTTTACATGGTTGGTGATACAGGGCATGTTTGGAGTCTTTGCTGACCTTGACTTGCCTAGCCAGTCTTGCTTCAGATTACTTATTTGTGCCACTTCATCAAGCATATTCATTTCAAGTTAGGGTGGTATCTTCAAGTTTCCATTTTGTTGATATAAATTCTGATTGTAGTTATAAATTCAGAGTTGTCAAAATAATTGAGGTTTATGCTTGGTTAGAAATCACATCGTAACTGCAGTGATATATTGATTTATTTCAGTTCGCTGTAGAGATTCTTTTTTTGCATATAAATAAGCTTCTTTCAGTTCCACATATCAGACATAGCAAAGTGCGACATTTTTTCCAGCATATATTTAGCACGGATTGGTGAGGGAATGTGTGAGCTTACTTGAGTATAGTGTCAGCCATGTTTGGTCTAATTTGGAGAAATCCTTGTCTCTTTTTTTTTATGTGTGAATGATCTTTTGCTTTCCATTGCAACAGTGTGTGTTGGTTTCCAGTCTGAATTCCAAGTTAAATAAAAAATATCCGTCAGACGTCACAATGTGTACGTACAATTGAACTGTAGCAATAGTTCCAAATCACATTTTGTATTTGGAGTTGAGACTGATGATGGAGCTGTTGATAAAGAGGATCTGATTAGTGACAATGGTTAAGTGGGATCTCGCCAGCAATCTCTCTTTTTCTTTTTTTTTTTTTGGCGAGGTCCAGCAGCTCATCTAACGATCTGGCCAAAAAAAAAAACTGAACTGCACCATGGTGTATGTCTGCATGTTTTCAATTAGATTTGACGATGGATTAGTTTCACGATTGTGGAAACAATAATACAATTAAGATCATTTTTTTCTTTTTCAATTCCAATGGCCCCTTGTGCTGAAGATTGGGAAGACCAACTTGTGAAGAACGGCTTTTACTCCATTTGGCTTGCAGGTGAAAAGGTCGTTGAGCCAGTTCGCTGCTGCACAATGGGATAAAGACCAGTGGGAAACTCATTTTTCTCTTTTTTTCTAGAGGTGATGTACGTATATATTTGATATGTGATGTAACTTGTGAAATTTTAAGCAATTCTAATCCCTTTTGCACCAGGACTCCCTTAACTTATCCGCTTGTAGTTTGTTGTTTTGGGTAGAAACAAATGTGGCAGCTTAGCTTTGTTCAATATAAACATTTAGCAATGGTTATACTGATATTTTACTGGTTATTAGTTGGACCATATCGGATGGCCATGCTTTGGTTTTTTTTGGTTGCTACTTCTGCAATAACAGTCAGTAAATTCTGGATGGATATAATGAAGTCATGAAGCAAGTTTATTTAATGGAGTATCATGTCTTCGATGCTCAAATTGCTCGAATGTGTCTTAGAAAAGCTTCCTACTGAACTGAGACGTACATACGTCAATTTTATTCCTTATCAAGAAGTACTTTCCCAATTTAGCTCTTCAATTATATGTACATTAACTTACATCTGTTTGTGACGGCTGGAGTTTGACATTTGATAACTTTTTTTTTCTCCTGCACAATGCAAATTTGCTAGCATCTAATAAAAAACATTCCACTCAAAATAATCTAATAAAAACATAGTGCTAAATAAAACCTAATAAAAAACATGCTGATCTATTGGAGGATATTGGCAATGCTAAAGTGAAATATGATAGAGGTGTAAAATGCAACCTTATTGCAAGAAATTCCGAATAAAACAAAATGTTGAAGTAAAAGTGAAAGGTAATTGTCCTCTGTTTTGGAGGAAATTGGGGTAGAGTTTTTTTTTTTATAAGGAGTGGTAGAAAATTTATATCATCTATCTAATTTGATTTGAAGTGTTTCCGCCCACCGGTATTTAAATTTTAAATGAATTGAACAGACATTAATTGTTTGGAGAGAAGTAATAAATGACGACTGAGCAAGCTGCCCTACCTCTGCGATCTTATTTTCCTCCACAAACGCGATCTGGATTTCGGCCTGGCAAATGATAAACTCCACCGCCCCAGCACCTACACACACAGAGAGGATTGGATCGGAGGATATGATTCTTTATTGTGCAAGTAGCATCTTAACTTGCTAGTGGTTTTCTCGTCTGATTTATTTGCATACAAGAACGCTAATAAGCATTGACCAATTTATTTATTTATTTATTTACCGAGAGAATCGTAGAGGGGAACGCAGCAAACCCCAAGCGCGTTGCAAGCCTACCAAACAAGATTGAACACATATATACACAAAGAGGTCAGAAGGGAGCTTGGTAAAGAAGAAGAAGAAGAAGAAACCATTTTAGTGAGCGCAGAAAATTTTAAAAGATAATTAATTTCAAAGGGCAACATTTGAATGAATAATATTATGGTTACCTCCATGCTGATGATCCATTCGGGGCAGTTTGCGCCGTATATACCACAGCTTTCACCCTGAATCAGATATATGTTTGACTTGATCAAATAAATGGATCGATTGATCTAGCAAGTGTTTGACTTGATCAAATAAATGAATCAGTAGTAGATGACATCCCATTGCAATTAACTGCAATATATGATATCTATCACTCCAGGCAATCGAACAGAAGATTGGGATGAGAGAAAGATCAATGTCAACTTGCTTGTAAAGAAAGTGACGACCAGATATAAACATCTCGGTCAACTCCTGAATCCTAAAGAGTAACGACTAATGATGATATTTTTATAGATAGATGGATCAAGTAGTTTTTCGGACGATTCTAACAGTGGACTTTCTTGGATGTACTAAGCAGCGCTCATTGGAAGGGACACGTCTACTCGTTCGATCTTCATTTAAGGTGCCTTCTGAGTTACTCCTACTAAATATCGTATATATGATATAAACATAGTATATGATATCGTGAACTCATGCATAGCTACAGAGGAAACCTTATCATCTCACTGGCTTGATGGTGAGCACTGAGCCCGCCAGTACTCCTATTGCGATACCAGAAAGTATTTCAACAGCTTGGGCTTGGATTTCTGGCGCAGGTCTCTCAGCAGTTATGCCTCCAACTAAGAACTGAACAACCACATTAATACTGAATGCATATGCATGTGACTGTGTGAGTGGTGAGCCGGACATGCTACATGAATGCTTCCATGATGGATGTTTCCATATATTGCACTACGCCTTTTGTGCTTTTTTTTATCGCCTTGTGTCAACATATGCATGTGACTGTGTGAGTGGTGAGCCGGACATGCTACATGAATGCTTCCATGATGGATGTTTCCATATATTGCACTACGCCTTTTGTGCTTTTTTTATCGCCTTGTGTCAACATCGCTGTGCAGATCCAAGATGGAAGCAGCAGTGTCTGTGACTGTGATTATTACGTACGTACAGTACCTGTTTGATTCCGGATTTGTCGATGGAGGCTGCAAGCTTCATCACCACATCGTAGACTTCCCTGTAAGTCGCCCAGGTGTATTCGCCCGCCTGTAGTTTTAGAAAACCATTGTAAGTTTGTAACCCCATCAAAATCCTCTTATTATAATGAAGTGTACGTGTGACAACGGTCAAAAAAAAAGGGGATAACATCACGTATAAATACACACAAAAAAGGCCAAGTAAATTATGGCCCCTTTAGCTTCGCTAAAAAAAAGTTGAAACACTATTCCGGCTGATTTATTATGAGAGAAAAATATTGTTCCGACTAAAAAAAAAAAATAAAAAGTACAAATTATAAGAGAAACAAACATGGCCTGTATATATATGCAAGCTGTTGACTTGTTCTACGCCATGACATGTACGGAACTAGACCATTCTTCTGAGACAAATGTCGATTTTTCCCGTGTTTGACTACCGGTACTAAATGGGTGTCACTTTCCACGATAATCCAAATGTACAGTGTCCTTGCAAAAAACTAGTACTTTCTTCGTTCTAGGGTCTGTTCGGCTGATATTAAAGCCGGCTAAAGCTATTTTATTATGAGAGAAAAATACTGTAGATTTTAGCTGATAAGCCAGCTGATAAATTCAAGCAAACAGGACCCTAGATTATAAGTCGCTTTAACTTTTTTGGTACATCTATTTTGTTATGTATCTAGTATAATATTACGTCTGAATACATAACAAAATAAATGAATAAAAAAATTAAAGCGACTTATAATTTCGAGATGAAGCAGTATGGTCGCCAGTTTATCATCTACCAGGAGGGGCGAAGCAATGGTTCAGAAGTAAATGCACGTGAAACGAAAAAATTGCTCATATGAATTCCAAGCTAGGAAGGGGGTAGAAGTAGAAGAAGTCCATTCTTAGTTTCTTACCTTGCCGTCGACCACTCTCCGGCGACCGAGCATCGGGTTGTCGGGGTACTTCTCCACGGACGTCCTGCCAAGTCAGAAACCGATCGATCAACCGCGCGATTGGAGGACCGAGCAAATTAAACCATGCGTATGGTAATGGTACGATCAGCAACAAAAATAAACAATCATGTCTAGCAGCAGCTGCCGGCCGGCGAGCTGAAGGATTGACAAGGTGGAGAGGAGAGACTGAGCTAGCGGCAAAGACCATCGATCGCTCACCGGAAGATGTCCCAGCAGCTGTGGAGCCCCGGCGGGGCCTGCAGGAGGCCGTCCTTCGCCCGCGCGTTCCGGTACGCCGGCCCCGTGGTCGCCGTCGCCGGCTCCACCTCCACCAGGTGCTTCATCTTCTCCGACGAGACAGACAGAAGGGTCAGAGAGAGGAGAGCCGAGTGCCGATACCTTTGCCGAGAGGTTTGAGCAAGATGTGTATGCTCCTAAGAAGCAATGCCCCCCGGCCCTCTAGTCCTCTGCGTTATGTACGTGCTGAACGTTGACTTGCCTCTCTGTCACGACTCACATGGCCGGCCGGGGGAGAAAGGTAAACATGCAGCTGCGGAAGTTAGTTAGGCTATCTCCATCAACTACACCTAAAATACAAAATACAACACTCATCCGTCTTTTGAATAGTGTTACAAATAAACAGCATGTTCACTGGGTCGTAAATGATCGTAGATTATAAGTCAGAACATTATTTTTCTCTCACATCAAACTAGCCAGCGGTAATAATCCACGATCGTTTCAGCCGAAACGAACAGGCTGGAAATATTTAATGAGAGAATTCCTTATTTAACACTGGGAAAATGAGTCGTTCCTTTCTTGGTTCTGAAATTTTCTTCGTTCCCTATTTGACACTTACTTTAACTTTCATCCCTAATTTGACACTACCGTCAAATCCGTTAGCTAACGGTGTTAACAGGCTGTTAAAAAGACGTTTTTGCCCCTAGAAAAAAAAGTGGCGAAGCAAATTTGAGAGGAAAAAAACTGCTTTTTTTTTTTGCAAATTGGGCGCATGCATCGTAGGCGGCGGCGTGGTTTTCCTCTCAAATTTGCTTCGCCGCTTTTTTTTTTCTAGGGGCAAAACATCCTTTTAATGTATGAAGTTAACACCGTTAACTAACGGATTTGACGGTAGTGTCAAATTAGGGATGAAAGTTGAAGTGAGTGTCAAATAGGGAACGAAGAAAATTTTAGAGCCAAGAAAGGAACGACTCATTTTCCCAGTGTCAAATAAGGAATTCTCTCATGTTTAATACCTATTCGACATCTTCTTCAACAACAAGACCCAAAAGAAAATCCTTTCTGTAAATGAGTTTTCAGGAGAGAGAATGTCCATATTTTGGTTGTGTCTCTCAAACAACTCAAAATAGGTCTCCCGTATAGGTACTCGGTTGAAGACTGATTTTAGATCTCTTGATGTCTATTTTAGGTTTGAATACCCATGTAGATTCCTTGTTGAAGATAGTCTTCTAACCTGCTTGCTAGCTCCATGCTCCGCGCTCACGAATGGATAACTTAAGCCCCGTTTGGCAGGGCTTCACTTCACTAGTGAAGCCATTTTTTTTTGCTTCAGCTCCACGAACAATTCCACCGGTGGAGTTGAAGCGGTTTTGGTAAACCATTTGGCAAAATGACTTCCCTGTGAGAGCATATTTTTAGCGGTCTGAAGGAGGAGCCGGGAGAAGCCACTTTTTTTGCTCCATCTCACCCCAAATCATTGTGAGAGCATGTTTTTAGGGACTTCACCAGTGAAGCTATTTCACTTTACCCCGTTTAACAAAAAACAGCTCCAAACGACTCTCGAAGCTGATGGAGAAACCCTGTCAAACGGAGCCTTAATTAAAACACCGTGGACTTGGGCAGAACTACGTACAAGACTTGCACAAGTACACAACCATACTTTGGGGGAATTTAGTTTCATATAGTACGCATGTGTACGGATCACGGGACATATCTCAAAGTCGAAAAAAAGTTTCCAATACGTGTCGTGTGCATTAGCGAGTTTGTTTATTTTCAAAGAGCATTGCTATTGCTATACATACATAAAACCTATTTTGTAGAATCTGAGAGCAAAACTTCTTTTTCTCTCTCTCTTTCTCTGTTACGAGTTAAAACCATGCGTGTTTAATTTGTGTACTTGTGCCACTGGTATATTCTCCAATCACAAATTGTTCAGGTGACCGTATAACAAAGCGTACCATATACGGTATGTTGCAACGTCCACATGGACACGTTTGCTGGCTCTCTCTAATATTAAGGAGTCACTTTTTTTTATCTTCCGCAACTTTTAGAAATCTCATTTCTCACACGCGGAATGGAACATATATATCTTGTACTATATTTACTTTGTGTCTTGTTATATATATTTACTTGTGTGTGTTGTTATATAGGGAATACTCTATTCCATGTTTTAATAGAATTCATGGACGTTTGTAGTTGTGCGAGGTCTAGTGATGTACGTATCATTATAACACTAATACACGAATGATTTTGTATTCCTATTTGTCCACTGCTGTAACTTTATTGTTTTCATTCATAAACTAGGAGCACGTGATGCGTCCCTTCATGCATGGAAATGGCGTGCAAGGGAAGTGACCCAAAATCTACTTCTTTCAACCGGGAGGGATAATATTGGGTCTGTTCGCTCGGAGGAATTTAGATGGTTTGGAGAAATGTCGGAGAAATTTGTGAGAGAAAAAAACTATTCCGGATAAAAAAAAAGCGGATAAGTCAGGTTTAAGGGCATGCGAACGGAGCCATTGTCTCACCACCGGAAGCGTGGCAACAGGGGATGAAATTTGAAAAGGCACGTAACTACATAAGGAGAGCTAACATTTTTAATGACACATATGGAAGAGCAAGTTGGCATAGAATACTCCTTATAATACTCTTCACGCTACGAGCAAGGACAGACGCTTTAGGTCACCATATATGGGACTGCATATATGGGACTGGTGTTAGTATTTAGTTTAGTCTTTGTGCTGATTTTTAAGAGGAAAAACTTGTTGATGGTTTGATTTTTTTGAGAAAAAACAACTATATTGATGGTTGGTATATATATATATATATATATATATATATATATATATATATATATATATATATATATATATATATATATATATATATATATAGAAGCAAAACATCAAACGTCGAAGAAAGGGCTTGCCGTTGCCGGCTGTCAGATTTACCATTGCAGACAGCGCAGCTAAATACCCAACTGATGAATGATCTCGAGACAAAAAGAACTACTTATCGCTCTACGGCCTCTGCTATCAACAGCCTTCAGTTCACCCATTCTGAAACAACGCTACAAATAGCCGCAATCTGAAACACGCTGCGAACAGTAATCCCAATTCGCTCTAGCTCAAGTCCTGCCATGTCAACATTGATGAGCTCTGTCTCTGTGAAAACAATTGATAAAAAATCAAGGACACCAACAGAAACCGGAGGATGCTTAGCAGACACTACCTTGCTTGCAATTTGACAACATCCACTTTGTAACTCCAAATTGGGAACCAGGGAAGAAGGAACTTCCCATCCTTTGCTCGTGTGAAATTCACAATGATGCGTGCACTGTGTTCCATTGTTTTATTACGTTTGGTGACAAACTGACAAACCAAGACGAGGCAATCTAATAACAGCACCTGTTCACTCTAGCTGCACGGGATGAAAAATCAAGGCATGCAAGCAAAAACCATCGAGGTGCTCTGAACACTCTGAATCGACTCCTGTCAAGTCTGTTTATTCCCCACAAGGCAAAGCAAAACGCAGTTCTAACACAGATGAGAGATCCAACAGTATGATACACAACCGCATCCAGGTTTCGTGCTCACGCTCGCGGCTAGCGGCAGCGTGGTTCAGAAATCGGAGCAGCGGCCGCCGCGCTCCCAGTCGCCGTACCTCGTGGGCTCGGGCCCCCGCGGGCCGCCGATCTCGCCGGTGGCCTTGTTCACGTGCACGCCGCCGTCGTCCTCATGCTCCTCCTTCCCCGCTTCGGCGTCGGCGCCCTTGGCTTCCGCCGCTTCCTCTCCCTCACCCTTCCTGACGGCCTCCGGCGGCGCCGTCGGCGGCGGCGGGCCCGTGGAGGGGGCGGAGCTGGAGAGCGCGACGCGGAGGAGGAGGGACGCGGGAGGAGTCGGAGGAGGCTGGGGCCCGTGGGAGAGAGCGGAGGCGAGGCGGCGGAGGCCGTGGTTGGCCGCCATGGCTTGGCTTGGTTCCGTCCGCTGCCGGTGCGGCGCGTTCTGTTACCCGGCTCTCGCGTCGACGCGTCGTCTCGTACTCACGTGCAGTCGATGTGTGCGCCGCCGCAGTGCGAGCAGGCAATGTGAAATGTGGCGGCCTCTGTCTGGCCCAGGCCCAAGAGATGGGCTCAGTTCTGACCGGCCTATTACGAAGGCTAGGCGTTTCAAATTATTCAAGGCTTTTGCAAGGTCTGTGGATGCGAATAACGCAAAGGCTGCTGAATCAGGGAGTTCAGTCCGATATGGCCTTACTCAGTTTGCAGACTGGACCACTCAAGAATTTGGCCGTCTGTTGGGCGAACGCGAACTTGCTTATGGCTCTGAAACCATCAGTGATGATGAGTACTGGGAGGCAGGAGATGATGAGTACCTGGAGCTGGAAAAGCAGGAGTTGAATCCAAAAAGATTGAGAAGGGTGGGGAAATCTGTATTGTGAAGCTTAGCTATCTTGTGAAAACCATCCAGAATGAACTTGTTTTTATTTGATTTGGTTAATCTTTTATGTATGCATCTTGTGAAAGCCTAGCTATCTTTTATTTGATTTGGTCAGATACATTGTGTGATGTAGACCGGGACATTTTCATTTGCTTGATGAAATAAACTCCCTTTATCTAAAAAAAAAATTCAGTGAGAACCAGTAACATAAAACTTGTTTCTCTCTCTCCTCGTTCATACGGATCCGGTCTGGCGGAGCATTCTTTCCGTTCTCTCATTCTCAATCGGTAGAGCTTGAACATATTTTCCGTGTTCATGAACCTGATGCAAAAGGTTGGATTTTCTTATTGATAGATTCATTGAAGCATGCGATGGGCCCATTTGCGTGCTAGTCACGTTATGCACACAGGAAGGCAATGCATGAAAACACCTTCCAGAGCCCATTATCAACGTTATCCTTTTGTGGACTCATTTGTCTCTGATCTCTCATTGGTGGAGGAGCAAATGATCGGACCTTTTCAACAACGCAGCAGGCAGCCTCAACATGTGGCCTGGCTACCCCCTCCAGTCGCCATAGTGAAAATTAGTGTGGATGCGGCCACGTCGAAGAAGAACAACAATGTGGGAGCAGTTGCAGCGATCGCAAGATCGGGAGATGGAAGGTACTTGGGCGCCTCAGCGGTGGTATTTGATGGCACAACGACCGATGCAAAATCCCTGGAAGCCTTAGCGTACAGAGAAGCATTAGCTTTATCAGCGCTCGATAGAAGCGTGTTGTCTATATGTTTAAACTCTTCTACTTACTACAATGATACGTAAATCTTTTACTTATTCGAGAGAAAAACATTAGCTTTATCACGCGATTTGCTTCTCCGTAAAATCTAGTGGTGTCTGACTGTCTACCCGTGAATCCGTGATAAAAAACTTGAATGAAGGATCGTTGGGAGCTTATGGACAAATAGTCTGGGAGATCAAGCAGTAGGAAACCTTATTCAAAGAGATACGGCTCGTTCATGAGAATCGCCGACATAACACACATGCACATAATTTAGCAAAGTAGTAATATTTATGCTAGTTTAGGTAGACATGTGTGGCTACTTACACCCCCGGAAAGACGTTTGTAACCAAAAATAATTGTTCATTAATTGTATCCGAAGTTTCTCAAAAAAAAATCCTTTTATCTAGAAGATCTAGAGTACAATGTTAAGAAAGTTCAATATCAAAAATTATTTTACAATGGATCTAATAAATATACGTTGATGTCGTAGGGTTTATTTATGTATTTTGCTATAAATAAATTTAATAAACAAACTAATAAAGAACGTAGAAACGGGCACATATCAGCTTCCGCAGCAGATGTGGGTGCCGTAGGGGCCGTTTGGTATGGGCTCCATGAGCAGCTCCGAGAGCTCTTTTTCGGCTTCGACAACCAAACGGCATCCGAACAAACAGATTCACGCATGGATCTTCGCAAAACGCGCTGACTGGAGCCGTCCAAAAAACTAGCTTCGCCGGCTCCAACCTTCGTCCTTGTGGGGCCAGTCCCGAAATGCCCCTTTGTCGATGGCGGCAGGCGGCGAGACGGAGCGCAGGCGCGGGCCGCGACGGCGAGGGGAACACGGGCGCAGCAGCGATGGTGCGGCGAATCACGGCCACGACCGCGACGACGAGGCGGACCGCAGGCCTGGCATCGACGGCGAGGCAAACCGCGGGCGCAGCCGCGACGGCGTGGCGGACCGCGGGCGAGGCCGCGACGGCGACCTGAGCGCGGCCGGGAGCGGCGACCTGAGCACGGTTGCGAGCCTCCTCCGGGAGCGCTGGGCAGGGATGCAAGAGACGATGGAGACAGGCAGGAGAGAAGAGACGCTGGGTCGTCTCGGTGAAGAAGATAAGGAGAGAGAAGATACTGGTAGGAAAAAGAAAAGAAAAGAAAAATAAAGGAATGGAAAAAAGAAAAAGCAAAATAAATATGGATAGTATGGATATTTTACATCTATTGACTATTGGAGAAGTTGCCGAACGGTCACTGAAAGCTTCCGTAGTTTTTAGAGGGAACCGATGCCGGCATGCCGCTTGCAGCAGAAGCCAACGGGCCGGCCCATGTCAATTTGCAAGGTGAATGAACGAACGGCGCCCACCACCCTGTATGATAATTGGGCCCGGAAACTTTGGGACAAAAACAAAAGAACTCCCGGAAACATCAGCGGCCCGTTGGTAGAACAGGCCCGGCCGGCGTAAACCGCAGGCCTGGGAAAGAAAGGAAAACGCTAGGGCACAGGGACTCTTGTCGTCGTTGCGATGACGACGCCGTACCAGAGACTAGGCGCACGGCGAGGCAACGCCGCGCCGGGCCTTTCTGTTCTCCATCTGATGACGTCAAACAATGTGGTGGACTGCTGGTCCGCCGTTTCATTGATCGCCCAGAAATTGAGAAATTTAGGCGGATTATTCGATGGGAAAAAATGGCATTTACATTCTTGTCACCATGTTTTTAACTTTTTATTAGATATATGTCCGTGCGTTGCACGAAGGTCACCGCATGGAGACTTGGCTCAGGGCTCTAGCAGCTCCCTCCCTCCCTCGGTCTGTCGATGTCTCCCACCTTTGGCGGGAAGAGCTAGCCGTCACGTAAGCTCTCCCATCGGCGTCGTGGTACTTGGTGGGTAGCGAGTTGGCGCGTCAGCAACCTCCCCGACGCGAGTGGCAGTGGCAGGCGAGAGATCCCTTCGCTTGCAGCCGAGCGGGGGCGTGATTTGGCGGCGGCGTGGTGGTGCACTCGGACTCCGGAGTGACCAACAGGAGTCGCTTTCGATTTGTATTTGTTTTTCTTTCACGTACCGGATATGTGCCTGTGCGTTGCACAGGACCATAAAATTTTCCCACCTACGGCGATCTACGTGGCTTACGGCTTAGACCGACATATTAAGAAATATACAAATTTAATTATGTCAACACAATGTAAAGCCTGTTTCATGATGGCCTTTTTGTTTTTTTTATTCGGCACTTATCCCAACCTAGAGGTTTAAACAGAAGTCAAGTAGGAAACTGAGTTGGTCACGTAGGGATTAGTGAACCTATAGGTAACAGAGTCACGTACGTAGGAAGGAAGTCACGCGGGACGGAGAGAAGAGCAGAGCGAGGCGATTATTTCCTACGCTGACGATGCCCCTAGAGATTTTTTAGGTGTAGTATAATACATTAATTTATTTATATATACAGACCGCCTAGGCACCTAGGGACTCTGTAGATGCATGGCACATCTAAGGATGGCAAGTTAATCGGGTTTGAAGCGGATATTATTTGTTCTGCATTGGGTTTGGGATAGTTTTTCACCCACGGTTTTTGGGTTGGGCCCGAAACCATTCGGGAGTTTGCCTTCGATTTGGTTTTTCACCCGTGGATATCCAATGGATATCCGATATAAATCATTTGGAATTAAAATTCATGTTTTATAATATACTAATAATAATTTATTTACTTAGATTATTAAATCTATTTAAAGTTGACTCATAAAATATTTATTATTTGTTGTCTCTTGTTTATACATGTGAATATTACTATATATATCCATTTTCGGTATCCATTTTGAATTATAGTATCCGCTCGGGTTTTGGGTATCCATGGTTTGGTTTTGGTGATGGATTTCCACTCGAATCGGTTTTAAGCGGATTCGGGTTTGATTCAAATTTCGGTTTTGGGTGCAAGAGACTCCACTTAATCCGAACCCGACCCGTTCCATCCTTAGGCACATCCTCGTAAGTTAATCGATTTTATTATGTAGCATTGTGTGTCCTCCGCTGTAAGTGTTGCCCGATTTAAAAGGCAATCAATATATATATATATATATATATATATATATATATATATATATATATATATATATATATATATATACGCTTTGTTTTGTGGTGGCATAGAATAAGTTAGTATTTACGAGGTCACTTTGAGTTACTATAATAATTACTATACTAGTTTACCATATGTTATAGTAAATCCTCATAAATAATTTACTATAGCATTATGGTAAGTATCATCTTGAATTATAATAACCTATGTATCGTAAATATGTATTGTCATTGTCGTAAATTGGTACAAATATTATAGTAAATCAAGGTGGCCATAGAATAAGTTATTCTGTGGCCAGTTGTAGAATAGCCTTACCATATATATACCACATAGTACGAGTATAGATTGCTCCTGAAGACTGAATTTATTATTTTTTTGCTCTTTTTCTGAATTTTTTTCACAAATATGTCTCTGGAGGTAAGATTTCAAATTTTGGACTCTTAGCTCGGCGCCATCGTTGTTGGCGCCGAGCTTACACTTCTCGGCGCCATCGTTGCTGGCGCCGAGGTCTTGGGCTCGATGCAGACGTTGGGGTGACTTGGTAGGCAGCTCGGCGCCGTAGATCCTAGCGCCGAGGTGGTGTTTTAACCCCACCCCCAACCTTCCTGCCCAAACCTTCTTCCTCTTCTTTCTCCTCCCTCTCGGGTTTTTTCTCTCCCCATTTCGCCCTCCCTCACGAATCGGCATATTGGATCTTGGAAACTTTGATTTGATCCGTAGATCTTCGAGAGCAAGGTATCCTCGCTCTCCTCCTAGTTTTTTTTCGCATCTATTTGTTATATATTAGTCGGATTTTTAACCTAAGAATCGTCATTACTTAGGGTTTCATGTAATTTTTAATATTTGTATTATACAACCGTAGGATGTCAAGGCGTGGAAAAGCTAGCAAACCAAGGTAACCGCATCGCATGTTGTTATGTTATGGGTTCATTGATGTGCATCAAATGGGAAACCCTAGGTTTAGGGTTTAATGTTAATTGCTTTCGGTTCTTAGAACGAAATTGGTTGTATTGTAGTTATGGCCGGATGACTGAAAATGCCTTCGATCCATTGCCTCTGCCTAGTGGTGTTCCAGTGCCCATGTGTTTTTGCGGTGATCCTTGCAAGGTAGCCAAATCCGATGAAGAGGACACGTATAGGCAGATGTATTGGATGTGTTCCAATTTTACGTTTGAGCCTGCACTTCGTCAGCGCCGCATTAATAAGATGGTGAGGAATTGATGTTTGTGTCATATGACATCTTGCATGATTTTTTTGTTTTATAACAATTGTATTTTCTGCAGACCCCTCTACCGCTCTATGATTTTGAGCAGTGGATCGACACTGAGATCAAGCCTGAAGACAAGGAATGGATGCAGAACTGTTGCGGTGGGAGGCAGGTGACAAGGAGATGATGGAGAAGAGACACAGAGAGGAGGCTGCTGAAAAGGAGCACAAGGAAGAGGATGAAAGGAGGCGTGTTGCTGCGTACATGGAGGAGAGGGAGAAGAAGCTTAAGCGTGCACGCCGAGCGAAAGCAGCGATGGAGGAGAATCCCGATACCCTGAGGAAGGGATAGTGGCCTCGTTGCACTCAGTAGTCTCCATGACTTGCTAGTTCTATGGTTTATTCATAAACAATGTTGTCTACTGTCGGCACGTACTTCTAGTATTATTGTGTTGTTTAATGTGGCATAGTATTAGAATTTTCATTATGTGGTTGTTTTTATTATTTGTGGTCATAATATTCAGCTTAATATTGTGGACGTAGTGAAATGTGATCACGTGTTGCAAACAAAACATAACAAAGTAGGACATTATATAATTCAACACACAAAACACATGAAATGGCATGTGAGAACATGTACCAAACTAGGGTATAGAGTTCCTTCGACTAAACCTAACATGCCTTAGGTAATTAAATCAAGGGGTCCCTTAAATCAAACAACAAATACATATATGTGCCATGTGAATAAGATAAAGTCGTCCTAGTAGTATGGCCACATAACAAATTGTGTTGCACCTTCTCCACAGTAGCCTCCGATTGTTGGTGGTGGTGGTGGCGGGGGTGACGGCGGAGGCCCCTTTTTCTTGTGGTTAGGACAGATACAATATGGATCATTGCAGAGTGCCTCCTGTGAATCGGCACCATTGTTGTTGTCGTCCTGTCCTTCGTCCTTGTAACCGCTGCTAACTTCCCTTTCTAGATCGAAGATATGGTTCTCTGCAGGTAGTAGATGTACTCCGCATGTGGATAAATAGGTCGAGGATCGACCCATCTAGTGAACCCATAGTTTTCTTCGACCAAGAAAGACTGCAATAAGTATGTCATGTAAGTTGTATAGAAGAGGAACATATTGAAGAAATAAATAATAATAACAATTACCCATGCTCATGGGCATTTGAAGAAACGACGACCTCCATCTATTCTCTCGGTAAACATCTGCACTAGGCAGTCCTCACCATGCATGCATTGTGATCATTCGCCTGAGGATGTTGGGAGGAGAACCTAGGTGCAGTACACCCTCAACTGCAATACCAGTATCATCATCTCAAGGCAATGCAGCTCCTCCCGAGCCCTTGCAACCATCTCACTAAATGAAGGCCTATCATTGAATAGCACAGGCACGCTTTGCATGTCAACAAACTCAACATATCCATAGCGATCGCATTCAACGGTGCCTCCATGATATATGGTCACTAGGTTGTCCATCTAGTTCAAACACATAACGAAACACATGTCATTTAGTCCAAATTAGACAATAGATAGTACCTAACAAGTACTTTCTAACTACAAACTAATTAAATAATATAATAACTATATATATATATACAATGTACTCACAAAATAGCTATATCTATGTACCTATGTATCTATGTTTCTATCTATCTACATATCTATCTCGCTAGATCACTAACTAAATCAACTACTTGAGTCATCACATTAACTAGTAAATAACAAATAATCTGTCGGTGTTTCGGACCGGGGGGTCCTCAACCAACTAGTGAATGTGAACTGCGTGCCCCTAATCCCGGATGGTGATGCAAAGAGACACAAGGTTTATACTTGGTTCAGTAATCGATTGCCCTCGTCCAATCTCGGAGATCGATCTT